CGTCACCGGCGCAAAGACTTTGTCATAATCAACGCCATACTTTTGAAAACATCCTTGAGCCACTAATCTTGCTTTGTATCGTTTGACGTTTCCAGTGTCATCAAGTTTCCTCTTAAAAAACCACATAATAGCCTTTTTGTCTTTAGGTAAATCTGTCAATATCCAAGTATTATTCTTTTCTAGAGATGTCAATTCTTCTTTTATAGCATTTTGCCACTTTTCTTTCTCTTCACAATTTATAGCTTGTTCATACGTTAATGGGTCTTCTATTAAATGCTCTTGAACATTGTTTATAGATTCTAATAATCTCTTGACTGGTACTCCTTTTGTAGATCTTGTCGAAAATCGTTTTTCTTTAGTTTCGTCTGTTAAATATAAATACGTATTTTCTTTATTTTGATTCATTTCGACGTTTTTGTTTTCTATAGAAACATCAATTCCTATTGTGTTACCTAAATCAAGCTCTTTTTCGTTGTTCTCATCTTTGCAGTTAATTGCAGTAATGTTGACTGAGCCGCTCTTCCAAGTGGAACATTCCGTCGCTATGGAGACCGAAGTGGATGGAAAATACCGGTCGTTTTTAGTGTGGTGTGAGCAACCACACTGTTATCGTACTCTGTGCGCAATGGATGGGCGATCGCGTTACTTAAGCGAGTTTGAGCGAGGAATGTTTGAGGGTATGCACATTGAGGGTGTATCGTTCTTTGAAATTGCGCGTCGTGTCGAGCGGTCGTTATCGGCAGTGCAACGGGCATGGCGAGAATGGTCTGAGGTAGGACATAGGTACCTACAGCCGCGGCCGGGACGGCTCTGCGCGACCCCAACACATGAGGATCGCACTCTTGTGCTCAGCGCTTTAGCGTCGTGTGCGTCCTCCTCAAGACAACTTGGAGCTGTTTGGCCACCGGCAGGGGAAGGCGCACTCACTACGCGAACTGTATGGCGGCGTTTTGGTAGGTAGTGGACTGCGCGCGCGTAGTGCGAGATAGCGGATTCCAGTAACACCCGAGCACCGCAGCATACGTCACGAGTGGGTCGACGCTAGGCATTAGTAGGTTGCCGAGTAGAGGGACATTTTGTTTTCCGACAAATCAAGATTCGAATTGAGCACCGGTGATGCGCGAATTTTAATTCGTCGGAGACGTGGTGATCGTCTACTCGAGCAGTGCGTGCAAGAATGCCCTATCCACCGACAACCGAGCATTATGGTATGGGGTGCTATTACACATGGTGGACGTACACGTCTGCTGCGTGTATAGCAGACCATGACGGGTCAACGATACGTAGATGAGGTGCTACGGTCCGTTGTGCTTCCCTACGTTCGGCGGCGCCCAGGTCTGCTATACATGCACGACAACGTCCGAACGCACATCGGGCGTATTGTATAGACTTTTGTGGAAGAGCACCGTATACGAATGCTTCCTAGGCCAGCTCGTTTTCCGGATCTGAATCCGATCGAACATGTTTGGGACATGACTGGTCGGAGACTTCTACATTATCCGGCTTCTTCGGCTAACGTTGAGGAGCTATGGAGGCGAGTTGAGGTGGCATGGTTGGCCATCCCTCGTGCTACAATACAGCGACTTATAGACTCCATGCCACGTCGTGTAGCGATGGTACGCGAAGCTCACGGGGGATACTCTCGCTATTGATGTTTCTCCTCCCAGCAGAGTTGTGCCGCTCTCCTTGTGAGAGTAAGTTACACTACTTTAGTACTACTTCCATACCAAATTTTATTGCGCTAGACACACGCGTTCAGATTATACAGGGTGTGCTCGTGAATTATTTCCAACAATTATTCACCACCGCGATCACTCCTTATTATTTTAGGAATTCTGTTGAACATTGTTTCAACTATCTTAACATAATCTTTAATCTTGTCCGCCACTTCGTTTTTGTGCTTGAGTAAATAAACATGAGTATAATCCGTATGATCATCTATAATCGTAAGAATATATCGATAACCCCGAATAGTTGAAACTTCAATAGGTCCACGCACATCAGTATGAATTATATCATGGATATTAACTGTTTTTAATTTGTCTTTCTTTATAAACGGTTATCTAGTCATTTTTCCTTTTAAACAAATTTCACACACATCATCACACTTACAAGTATCTATCTTAATTTTCTCTGGATACAACATCTCAAGTTTTCTTATGTCTTTAAAATTTCTATGAGCTAAGGTACTATGCTAGTCATGGACACACCTCCTACTGTTTAGCATTGATACCACTTTATAAATTTTATTTGTCAAATTTACTGTAAATAATTTGCCTGTTTTTATGCAAAACATTAACTTTTCATTATTTATCTCTGTATACCCACCCTTATCATCAAAATGAATATGTATCCCCTTATCAACCAACATACCTACAGAAATTAGATTACTATCGAGTTCGGGAACATGTAATACATCAGCGTATTTGCGTGCAACAGCGATTTTGCGTGCATCGCTAGTTGAATGGCTTCTTCTTCATTAGTTTCCGCTTCAACTTTCTTGACTTTTTCATAATTCTTCCTTTTCCAAGCTATGTAATTATTGCAATCCTTTTTCATATGGCCCCGCTTCTTGCAGAAGTAACACTCCATTTTTCTTTCTTCCTTTCCTTTTCCGATCTTCATTGCCTTAACTGTGTCGGTATTTTCATTGTTTCTACTTAATTTTCTTTCATATTCTTCTAATAATCTTTGCTTCACAAATTCTTGTGTTAAATCTTTTTCCGGGCGATTTTCTAATGCTACGATTAGATGGTCGTAGGTTTCCGGTAAGCTTTGTAGCAAAAACATTACACACATTTACTCCGGAAATGGATGTCCCGCAATACACAAGTGCTCTAAAGTATTTTCTATGCCATTTATGTGTTTCTTCATGTCTCCGTTCTCTTCTAATTGTGCTTTACATAATCTCTTCAGTAATCTGGCAGTTACATCCAACGTTGACTTTTCATGGTGTTTTTGTAAACTTTCCCACATGTCCTTGGTTGTCTTTTTATCTTTGACATATTTTAATTGCGTATCTTCTACTAAAAGACCAATTGTTCCTCTTGCTTTCGCATCTTTCTGAGTCCACTTTGACATTACCGGGTCCGCTACATCATTACTATTGACTATTACTTCCCATAGTTCTTCTTTAGTTAACAATAACTCTACTTTAAATTTCCATACTTGATAATTAGAGCTATTTAACTTTTTTTAGTTGCGTCTTTATGTCCGCCATTTTGGACGCTACTATGATTAAGTTCACCATGGAAACAGCAACTGCCAAAAAACTACCTTTCCTAGATGTGTTGGTCACCAAAACGACAAATGGAGATATAGAACTTGGTGTATACCGAAAGAAGACCCATACCAACAGGTATTTACAGGCATGTTCACATCATCATCCCCAACAGAAGAGGTCCGTGATCCGTACATTATTTCAGCGAGCAGCGAGACTATGTGAAGGAGAGAACTTGAAGAAATAGCAACACTTTCTACGAGGCGTGCTGCAGAAGAATGGATACACTTCGAGGGACATCAACCAGGCCATCAAGCAGCGAAAGCAGAAAGGGGACACGGTAAGTACAAAACCACTTGGATTTTACACCTGTCTTCCCTATGTTTCAGGTGTAACGGAACGAATTGCTAGGCACCTCAAGAAGAACGACATCGTAGTGCGGTACGGCACGGTCAGCAAAATTCGGAACGCACTCCCGATAGCCAAGGACAAACTAACTCCATTAAAAGGAGCGGGAGTCTATCGACTATCGTGTAGTTGTGGGAAGGTTTATGTTGGCCAAACTGGACGCAACGTCGAGTGCCGCATCAAGGAGCATGAGAGGGATGTAAGGCTGAAGAAGATCCAGCAGTCGGCGGTTGCGGAACATTGCCATGCAGAGGGGCACCGAATAGACTTCGAACAAACAAAGGTGCTGGCTAGGGACAACAGATACTACCAAAGACTGACAAGAGAAGCCATAGAGATCCACCGACATAAAAATAACGTCAACAGAGAGGATGGCTGGGAGCTTAGCAGAACATGGAAGATGGTGGTGAACACGAAGACACCGGACGCGACGCAATTAGTTAATAATTAGCTTGTAATTAGCGTTAACTGATTATTAATTAGTTTTTCCGACTTATATATAGTTACCGATTTTTGATCTAGTCACTTCGAACCAGTTTCTGAAGAAGGTTGCAACATGGCATCCGAAACGTCAAACCTTTTATTAAAAGACGCACGGCAAAACCCGAAAGTTTCTAGTGTTAGTTCTAGTTTTAGTTCTAATTTTAGTTTAATTCACACCGGCCGTGAAAGCCTTCGTACTTATATATAAATAACACTTAAAAAATGTGAAATTACACTTTAAAATACAATATATAAATAATTAAATTGTAAAAAGACAAAAACCACACAAGTTCTAAATGTATATAATGTTCTTCTAATGTATATGTTACCGGAAATGTGTGAAACCTGGGAATTCTATAAAATTCCTAGGAAATGTATATAATTCCGAGCCAATTTAGGAAATGTGTAAAATAATTTGTCAACGACTTTTTAATACATGCATTTCCTAGGAAATGTATTTACTTCCTAGGCATTGTATGCAATTCCTGAATGGTTCTAGGAAATGTATTATAGCGTAGTATCGTATTTAGATAATAAAAATAAAACACAGTAAGTAAACCGAGCATAAACACGATTTTTTTATTAAAGCTCTCATTGATATAATCACGTGTCACATTATAAAATGTAACATTTTCATAAAACTTATTAATAATTATTACATTTAAAAACTTAACAACATATATAGTATTTTTGCGGCCAGGCAAATACAACTGAGAATAAAAATGTAATTTCTTATAAAAGCCCCCACTGCCATTAATTAAAATAATCAGATCACATTATAAAAAATAAAGATCATCCTAAGGTTATTTATTAACTTTATCCACTTTAAAGTCGTTAAACTGAAGAACTTATTTATTTTTGCAGGGTAAGCTGGAGTGGCACACAACATTTTATTTTTAAAGCACAAACATTTTAATGAACTACAACCCTTCTTGCAAAGACACTTTTTGAATCCTTGTCCGGTTCCAGTTGATTTTAGATTCGCAACTGAGAGTAGTGAAATATCAGTACAAGGTACATCTTTGATTTCTAACATATCTTTTGGACAAACATTGAACTGAGATCTAGAATACAATTGTTTTATAACTCCATTCTTTGTACCGATTTGATAAAGCTCGTCATCAGTTTTATCTAAGACCACTCCTATAATATTACGCGCATCACCACGTCCTCTATCGACTTCTGGTACGAAAACCCTTACAGAGGTGCTAATAGATACTGGAGGAAATTTTTTGCCACTCGTTTTCAACATCTTTTCTGCCTGTTATTGTAGATTTTCCTTAGCAATTTGACGGTTTTCTAACGCTACTGATTTTTTTGAACACAAAGGGCAGAGTACTTTAGACCCATGTCCTTCGTCAGTTGATCGCTCAACAACAGCGTAAATTGTGTGAATGACACATCCATCCGCATATCCTGCAAGTATGAGCTCCACTAGTTTCTTGTGAACAGACGCTGCATTTTTTATCTTGCGCACTGGCTAGGGGTTGCTTACTTATTTCACATTGTTCCAAATTGTTATTAGAGGCTTGACTTTTCTCTATATTTACCTCACAGGGTTTAAACGTAGAAGCTTTGGGATCTGCTTTAATCTGGTCAAGATCCTGTATGATTTTCTCCAAATCTTCTTCAGTTTCGACGCTTCGCGTAAAATGATTTGGCAACGATAGTCCTACCTTTACTTTACACCCAAAAAGGGCCTCATAAGGAGTTTGCTTGATGCCAGCATGAAATGCTCTGTTTTTCATGAGTTGCACAAATCTTATACCCTCACTCCAATGTGAATTATCATTGTCTTGCATCCAAGTGGTCAGCATATTTTCAATATCCTGATTAGCCCTTTCTACACTGCCCTGACTTTGCGAATGCCTGGGCTTACCATGGATAATTTTTAAAGTAGGCCAATATGTTTTTAAGTTTTCAATAATTTTGTTAGAAAATTCTCTGCCATTGTCGGACTGTAGAATGGCAGGGGCACCTAATAAAGTAAATATGTCCAACAAAGTGTAAGCCACTTCCTCAGCTCGTTTAGATTTGAGTGGTCTTAAAACAACAAATTTTGTTAAGTGGTCTTGATAAACTAGTATGAATTTGTTTTCACCGTCCGGCTGAGACTGAAAATCTATTAAATCCACTTGACATCTGGAGTTGAATTCAGATGATATAATAGGCTTTACAGTAATACCCTTTTTAATGCCTTTTTGCTTTTGTTGACATGGTTCACAAAGTTGAATATAGGTTTCTATATCCTTACGTGTTATGTTTTTGTAGTGACTCCATACCTCTTTCATCATGCGGTCTCTTCCGCCGTGGCCAATTCTTATATGAGCTTCGTGCAATACGTCGAATAACTCGTTGTCACATACGTAGTAAAGTATATTGCTACCAGTATCTTTAACAGGAAAAATAAGTTTACTATTTTGATCTATAGTAAGAAAATCGTATCGCCGTAACAGCCAATAATCGCGAGGAGTCTTCTTTGCTGTTATTTTTGCCGTAGTGACCTCTTCTAACAACAGTTTGTAACGTTCATCTTCAGTATAAACTGTATTCTTACCACTTGTTAACTTTCTAGACGTTGCTACATTGTTGTAAAATCTATCTTTCATAAGTGTAACGCGAGACGCCATAATGAACGACAAGGTGTATACGCAATGAATGTTTAAGCTACACTAACCGTCCAGCGAATGCCCTCTACGAACATGTTAGCGAATGACGTAATAGTAATCCCGAATTTAACACATTTCCGCATATATATACCCTAAACACATTGCTGTTTAGGGCATATATAAAATTCCTAGGAAATGTGTATAGTAAAAGTTATTTCACATATTTCCTGTCGATTTTAGGCATTATACACATTTCCTAGGAATTATATATAATGACAAATTACATATATTTCCGGTAACATATGTAAACATACAGTACAAACCGGACACAAAATAAATTATGAAAATATAAAACTTATTCACAAACGTGATAAAGGTTTTTGCTTAGATCTTTTAAAAGCATTAGAAATTGCAAAACACAGTAAAAATAAAAACTACATCATGTTAAATGATCAATTGGATATGAAGTTTACACCACTTTTTCAATGTCTAAGAAATATTTGATTTTATTTTCGAAATCGCCGTTTTGCAGGTCAATCTTTGCAAAGTTTTAAAGGTCATCCATTTTAGTGTTATTTTGTATATCATTTGTGTAGGAACTTGTGTAGTTTTTGTCTTTTTACAGTTTAATTATTTATATATTGTATTTTAAAGTGTAATTTCTCATTTTAAAAATGTTATTTATATGTCTGCTGTTTGTGATGTTGATTTTATTTTATTGACCGTAAGTTCTATAAGAATTTTAACTTTTAATTATTAAATTGTCATTAAAATATAATTGTAGATTCGGCTGAAGATGACTAATTGTAAGTAAAACTAATCGAAACCGGTTCCGTTAAAATAAATTGAATTTTGCAAGATAAGAAGTTATATTTATTTGTTTATTATTTTAATATTTAAATTTACTTTGTTTATTCCGATATGCTAGCAACGCGATCACTTCATTTATCATAACCTACTTATAAAATAATGTATTTTGTTAAATTTCGAGGTTAATTATAAATTTTCGCGATTGTTTTCTCAATGCTCATAGTTAGTAGTTAATTAAAAAAGTAAAAAAAGAAAAAATAACGATGAAAGAAAAAGAAAACGAGTACTCACACCGCTCTGAAGTTCTCAGTAGAAAAATTTGTGAAGCTCTGAAGGACTCAATCTGCAAAAAATTTCAGAGCGGTGTGACTACTTGTTTTCTTACGAATTCTTGTGTCGCTGTCGCCATTTGTTTATATTGTAATGTTTTATTGTATTTTTCATCCTTTTGACGATGTTTATGTTATTGCCTGTTTTTCTGCAAAAACCACGTTATTTAAAAAATTCATACTTTTGTATGTTATTTGTATTTCCTCCAAAATGATTTAACAACTTTGTTAGAAGATGTGCCACTCTATATCTACAGAGAAATGTGGTTTCAACAAGATGGTTGCCAAGCTCATTATGCTTGTCCTGTATGGGATTGCATACAGAATACCTAGAAAGATGGATTGGGCGTCGTGGTTCGATTACGTAGTTACTCATGCTTACTGCTATTTTTATCATGTCATCAAATTTGAAGTAGTTAAACTTTAAAGTAATTTTTCTCAAAAATTTTCTTATGTAACCAATATTAATATTGACGGTACTAGATTCAGAAAAAATCCTCTTTATTATATTCCGTAATAAAAATAGTGGATTGCCATTTGAAAAAATATCGATGACGTCATAACTCGTTTAAAAAAGGGCGGAGGGGTTTTTAAAAGGGAGGCTTTTTTTTTCTTCCCAGACACTTATGTATGCATTTTTTAGTATTTCCAGGAAATTTCAAAGGATTTTCAAGTATACCATAAAAATTTCTCAGAATACCTAAGGTTATCTAGGATTTTGCTGAGATTTCTACAGAATTTCAAGTTTTTAGAATATTTTATAGGAATTTTCAAACACATCTAGGGATTTTGAAACGATTTCCAAAAATTTTTATATACAACTAAGTATTTCTAAACATTTTAAGGAATTTAGACACATTTTCAAAGCTATCTATCGATTTTTACGGATATCAGGATTTTTGAGTGTATCCAAGGTTTTTGAATGATTTTTTAAATAAATTAGGATTTCCAAAGATATCCAATGATAATTACGAATGTCCAGAACTGTTAATTCCTCCCAGACACTTATGTATGCATTTTTTAGTATTTCCGGGAGATTTCCATGAGATTTCAAGTATACCATAAAAATTTCTCAGAATACCTAAAGTTATGTAGGATTTTGCAGAGATTTCTACAAAATTTCAAGTTTTTAGAAGATATTATAGGAATTTTCAAACATATCTAGGGATTTTGAAACGATTTCCAAAAATTTTTATACAGGTGATTTATAACATATGGAGCAGACTAAAGGGGTAGGTACTAGGAGCCAAATTGAAGATATTTTCTTAATAATGTTTTGATCACAACTTAATAATCACAAAGATATAGAACGTTAAAGTTGAATTAATGGCCAAGCATTTCTTATCATATACGGTTTCACTACGTTTAGATTCAAACTGCGAATATTTTGAGGTTACTTAAACAATGCATAATTAACCAAAATAATAAAATCTTTGTAATATAGCAGTTACGGCTATTTAAAAATTTGTTAAAACGCTCAAACGGTATTGTTTGTTTATTGAGAACCGCTGATACCATGTTTTTATTGCTGCCAATCCAGTTGATTTGGTTACTTAGCAGCGGACAAGTATTTTAAATAATTTTAATTATTCTTTACTGAATATCAGTGATTCTCAAAAATGTACGTTAAATTATTTAAAAAATTAACATGCGATATCTATTAAGTTTTTAACAAAACATTATTAAGAACATCTCTCCAGTTTTACCTCTAGTACCTACCCCTTTAGTCTGCTCCGTATATTATAAATCACCCTGTATACAACTAAGTATTTCTAAAAATTTTAAGGAATTTAGACACATTTTCAAAGCTATCCATCGATTTTTACGGATATCTTAGGATTTTTGAGTATATCAAAAGTTTCTGAATGATTTTTTAGATAAATTAGAAGGATTTCCAAGGATATCCAATGATTATTACGAATGTCCAGGACTTTTAATTCTTCCCAGACACTTATGTATGCATTTTTAAGTATTTCCAGGAGATTTCCAAAAGATTTCAATAAACTTTCAAGTATACCGTAGCAATTTCTCAGAATACCTAAGGTTATCTAGGATTTTGCAGAGATTTCTACAGAATTTCAAGTTTTTAGAAGATTTTATAGGAATTTCCAAACATATCATGGATTCTGAAACGACTTCCAAAAATTTGTATAAACAACTTAGTATTTCTAAAAATGTTAACGAATTAGATACATTTTCAAAGCTAACCATCGATTCTTACGGATATCTTAGGATTTTTGAGTGTATCCAAGGTTTTTGAATTGTTTTTCAGAAAAATTAGAAGGATTTCCAAGAATATCCAATGATTATTACGAATGTACAGGACTTTTCATTCTTCCCAGACACTTATGTATGATTTTTTTAGTATTTCCTGGAGATTTCCAAGAGATTTCAACGGATTTTCAAGTATATCACAAAAATTTCTCAGAATACCTAACATTATCTAGAATTTAGCAGAGATTTCTACAAAATTTCATGTTTTTAGAAGATTTTATAGCAATTTGCAAACACATCTAGGGATTTTGCAACGACTTCCAAAAATTTTTATATACATCTAAGTATTTCTAAAAATTTTAAGGAATTTAGACACATTTTCAAAGCTATCCATCGATTTTTACGGATGTCTTAAATTTTTTGAGTGTATCCAAGGTTTTTGAATGTTTTCTTAGAAGAATTAGAAGATTTCCATGGATATCTATAGATTATTACGAATGTACAGGACTTTTAATTCTCCCAGACACTTATGTATGCATTTTTTAGTATTTCTAGGAGATTTCCAAAAGATTTCAACGGATTTTCAAGTATACCAAAAAAATTTCTCAGAATACCTAAGGTTATCTAGGATTTTGCAGAGATTTTTACAGAATTTCAAGTTTTTGGAAGATTTTATAGGAATTTCCAAATATATCTAGGGATTTTGAAACGATTTCCAAAAATTTGTATATACAACTAAATATTTCTAAAAATTTGAAGGAATTTAGACACATTTTCAAAGCTATCCATCGATTTTTACGGATATCTTAGGATTTTTAAATGTATCCAAGGTTTTTGAATGTTTTTTTAGAAAAATTGGAAGGATTTCCAAGGATATCCAATGATTATTACGAATATACAGGATTTTTAATTCTTCCCTGACACTTATGTATGTATTTTTTAGTATTTCCAGGAGATTTCCAAAAGATTTCAACGAATTTTCAAGTATGCCATAAAAATTTCTCAGAATACCTAAGGTTATCTAGGATTTAGCAGAGATTTCTACAGAATTTTAAGTTTTTAGAAGATTTTATAAGAATTTCCAAACACATCTAGGGATTTTGAAAAGATTTCCAAAAATTTTTATATACAACTAGGTATTTCTAAAAATTTTAAGGAATTTAGACACATTTTTAAAGCTATCCATCGATTTTTACGGATATCTTAGGATTTTTGAGTGTATCCAAGGTTTTTGAATGATCTTTAGAAAAATTTGAAGGGATTCCAAGGATATCCAATGATTATTACAAATATACAGGACTTTCAATTCTTCCCAGACACTTATGTATGCATTTTTTAGTATTTCCAGGAGATTTCCAAGAGATTTCAACGGATTTTCAAGTATACCATAAAAATTTCTCAAAATACTTAAGGTTATCTAGGATTTTGCAGAAAACTTTAAAAAGTACTGGAAGTAGATAAACTACTTAGAGTAACCAAATAGTTCTTCAAGTACTTCTTATGTCAAACAAGTAACAATCCAGTACATTTTAAGCTACATACTGAAAGTACAAGTATTAAGTACCTACAATTTGAAAGTACTGGCAGTAAACTAGTACATTTTTGCTGCAAGTAGCTCAACTCTGCTTCTAAGTGACATAAATCATCAAACATTTTTGATAGTTGTACTACCGTTTTTGAGTAATTCGTGATTTTCTAATATGTCGGTGAGTGTACGAATATAGATTTTGAATAGTATACAGTTTGGATCAAAGAAATTGTGTATATAGAAGCCGCATCGCCTGTGTTCGCCCGTATACCGGTTTGAAGCCAATGCAAGGGCATTTGTTTGCAAACAAAATAGACCTTGGTCCTAGGGACAGTGGCGTGTACGAATTAGATGAAATTGGTCAGACTTTATCCAGTGGCGTATCCAAAGAGCATCCTAATTTCATATATAAAATTACAATCACAAATTAATTGTTAAACTAACTAAATAATTTTATAAATTGTAGAATGAATTTTTGTCTATATCTTTGTCAAATTTTAATAAGATTTTAAAGTATTAAACACAATAAATATAATCTTTTAAATTAATCAGAAGACCTTGAAACAATATACATACTTGGTAAACGATACAAGTATGTACTATTTTGATTGATAAGTTCTATTTCTAACTAAAAGTAGTAGTATACTAAATGTATATATATAAATAAAAATGAAGAAAAACGGATCGAAAGAAGAACGACTTTGAAGATTTATTGATTCGCAAATAGGATTCGTTATTTTAGTGTATGTCTTATTCTAGGGGCTAAAATAATATTCGGGAGTGTTCGGCGATAATCGGCCGATGGTCTGATCTGTGCACGTTCTTTGTTTCAACTGGTTTCGACAAAGGTTAACAAAGATCGACAAAGGTGGTTAGTAAACAAACCGTGTGTTGCGTTGGCTTCAAGTTTTAATGTTTATAACTGCTTCTATAAAAACAATTTCTTTGGTTTGGACTAAGTAAGCCGAGGCATATAAACGTGACAGTAGTTCACCTACCTTGTAATTATTTTCCATGATTTCTTGTCCTTGGAAATCGTATGGCTCTTTAGACACATTCAATAAAAACTTCACATTTACCTCACTGTCGATTTTTTGGTCGTTTTCTGAAATTGTATGATATGGGGCAAAAATTTACTAAGAATGTATTAATATTTATAAAAAAATTTAGTTAAATTTAACAAAAATCGAATAGAATCATACAAAGAATTGGAAATAGAAACACGGACATAAAAACCCACAAAAAATAATCAACTAAAAAATATACTCTTTATTCTCCATAGCAAAGACAAAAAAAATAACTTAGAAAATAAAAATCCATCCTTATTTTTCAATATTTTCTCCAAAATTCTCATTATTCCATCCTCCAAATCATCCTTTAAAATCCTCATAATTCCCTTCAACATCATTTCCCCTTCAAAACAGGAAAATCATTTTCCAAGGCATGTTCCATCAAATGCTCCCCCAAATCCCCCCTCAGCACAACTTGATCACATCTCGAACAAACCTCCAACCCCAATTTATCAACATCTCCACTCTTCCTCCTCATAAACTCATCAAATAACTCTCTTTGTTTACCAACGTCGGGCAACAATATCAACAACTCCGGAAATAAAACATCAAAACTATATTCCATCATCAACAAACACAAATCAAAATAACTTTTCGCGTCGAATTCGCCGTTTCGAAACAGCGCCGACAACCTTTTAAACTCCAAAATCGAAGTCTTACAATCAGAATTTTTCTTCGAGTTATTCTTTGTAGATTTTGAGTTATTATTAGTTACGTTATTGTTGATCACTTCGTTTAAATTTTTAATTAAACTCTCATTTCTCATTTCGAAATTTTTCGGCGGTTTATACCTCGATTTCGTTGGAATCGAAAAAGATTGCCCGGTACTATTCGTGAACGTCATTTCCGAGGGGAGTAAATTTTGGTAACTTTCAAAACCCGGTGGGGGTTTTAATTTTTTCCCCGAAAACCCCGGTGGGGCGTTATCATCGCTATTTTGATCTTTATTATTGATCAGATCGTTTTTTAACTCGTTTATTTTTAATTCCGATACTTTTTTGGTTAAATTAAGTTCGTTTTCGTTTAATTTTTTTTTCTTTTTTACTTTATCGTTAATTTTCTTTTTGGTGGCGTCATTTTTAACGTCTTTTTTAACGGAATTACACTCTAACGTAATCGTCGATCGTTTTTTTACGATCTCATCCTTTTTTTTCGTTAACGCGGGGAAATCGTTTCGAAAATCGCTCGGATTTACTTTTAATATTGCCCCATTTGAAGTTTCTGGACGCAATTTTCCCCGATTTACCCACCTAGGTGTTTCGACTTTCGAGTTTGATTGAGTTAGCGCGGGGAAATCGTTCGATTTTGGCCGGATTTGTACGCTTGAGCTCATTGGGACGCTCATTCTTATCGATAAATTCGTTTCGGGGCGATTCTTTTTTGAAACATTTACATGAATCGTATTTTTTACGTCCATTTCGGGTGTTAAACAAGGAAAATCGATCGAATTATTTAATTTTAACCGAGAATTATCGTACCCGACCGCCCCTTCTTCGTCATTTGCGCCGTTTTCGACGTGGTTATGATTATTTCGATCGCTTTGTTGGTTTTTTTGATAACTTTTTTGTAATCTAGGCTTTAAAGTAAACGCGACCTCGACCGTTCGAGCTTGCTTCACGGCGTTTTTACTCAAATCTTTCGAATGCACACTCGCTTGATGCGCTTTTAGATCAATTAAGCTCTTAAAAACGGAAGTAAATTGCTCAATTCGACAATTACCCTCCTCACAAAGGTAATGTTCCTGCAAAAAATGAGCTCTTAGGTCATCATAATTATTGTAATATTGATTATTGGCGGATTCCATGTCGCAAAAGTGGCAAAAAAAGTGATCTCGGCGCAAATGCCGAAATAATTCGTCCAAATCCATGTAGCGGGTGTCGCAAAATTGGCAAAGTGGGTGCCCCCTATGCGATTTATTATCGACATCGCCTTTCCGACGGTGAGTAGCCCTCTCCTGTCGAGTGTAACACCGCCTTTCAGAGGTGAAAATGTTTAAATTCGCTACACAAAGATCACAATAAAAGAGTTCGTGTTCGCGCCGAACGTGCTCTTTTAAATCATTAAACGTTCGAAAACGAAAATTGTCGTAATGCTGTTGATTCGATCTACTAGAACAAATGGGACAACGATGCTCTAAAAGTTTTTGGTAACATTTCTGTATAAAAATCGAATCGAAAATAACTCCAATCGATTTTTCTTGGAGAACGATCGACTTTGCATTAATTTTCTCCATTAATACAACAAACCCAGCTTTGGTTTCGGTGAAAATCACCTAAAAAAGCGAAATTATTAAAAAAAAATCAAGAAAAGCAAAAACATTGAGGTTATGTAACCCCAACATAACCTCAAAAATTAATTTCGCAATTTTAAACCAAATTTTTTTGATAAATAATTAAATTAAGTTTAAATTTAACCTTTTGCATATCCCTCCGACAAATGGGGCACTCGTTTTGCTTGCAAAGTACTCGCATTCTGGTCGAACACTCGTAACAGACGGGATGATCGCAAGTTCCAATGGCAAAAATCGTGATTTTCTTGCAACAAACGACGCAGACGTCTTCGTTTTCGGGATTCATTTCGTTTCCGCTGGCCATTTTCCACGAAAAACCTTCGAAAAAATGAGGAATTTTAGATGAAAATACAACCTAAAAATTTACTTATTTGACAGTCCACGGCGAAAAATAAAAATCACTAGAATGGTGCCAACCTTGAAATAATAAAAAAACAATTTTTTTTTAAATTTGTAAGTAAAAGTGGACACGTGTTAAATTTTAAGGTTAAGTTGTTAATTTTTTAATTTTATTTTAAAATTACGTTTTAATTGTTTATGTGTTAATTAAAACAATTAAATTTAAATTAATTAATAAACAAAATTTTTTTTTATTATTAATACCAACCTCAAATAATGAAAAAATATCAATTTTAAATTTGAATTAATTTTAGTATTTAAACTCTATTTTGCAATAATGAAGCTTTAAGTATGGTATTCTATTATTGTTATGCGAGTTTACACCAAATATACAAGATTTATCTTTTAAGAAAAAGAATATAAGCATTTTATATGAAAACAGTCAAATAGCACACTCAGTGACTGATCATCTTTGACCGCTAATATCTTGGTAAGGAGCAAGTTAAAGCAAGATGTGGTTATCATGTTATATAGAACACATCTCAAAGAATAAGAATATTCTAGCGACAAAAGTTTTTCTTGCGTCTTCTGCGAGATATATATGTTAAAACATTTGGTTGTAACTTCAAGTAGGTGTTAATTAGCTTTAAAACAAGTGCTTACTACGTATTTCTGCAAAAATATTTTAAAAATTAGAAAAGTGGCAAATGAAGACCGTTCTATACTGTTCAAGGTAGCAACAACGCATTGTGTGAAGAAGTAGAACACAATATATTGTCTTCATCGAAAGTTGTAGTATTTTATGATATTTAATACACAAGAATTGTAGTACTGTTTTATTGCGTACAGTTGGCACTAGAAAGTACATAAGACTTTATTTCTTTCAAATCTCAGTCTATTAGGACCTAAAGTACATGTAACATGTAAAAAAAAACGAAAAAAAAATTTCGAAAATTTGATTTTCGTTCACATTTTACCGCTTATGGACCACTGTGCGGCGTGTTCACTGAGATCCGCAGAAGTTTATTTTGTAGAGATTCTCATGTTTGAAGTTGATGAATTGCTCCAAACTGGGCAGGCGTTAGTTACTAGTGGTGTGATGAGGGCTTTGTAAAGAAGTAGAGTGCGCTCAGTTCGCAGTGGTGATTTTCTGCTGATCAGAGGATACAATTGGCGAAGCCTGGATGATCAAGGAGAACTCCGAGGTATTTAATGGCTTCATCATTTGTTTTCCACTGTATTTCTTGATCATTTATAATAATGTAAGGAGCATTTCAATAAGGTCTTAGCGAAAAAATCTTGGCCTGGCATTTGTTGGCATTGAGCCGAATGGCCCATTTTGATAACCATTTCTGGATTTTGTCCACTGACCTTTGAAGTGTCTCAATAGCATCAATAAGGATGTCGTTTTGTCCCATTATTAACATGTCATCCGCAAACATGGCTATTTCGAAGTTTACGTCGGTCGGGATATCATGCATAAAGATGTTGAACAGAGCAGGGGATAAACTACTACCTTGTGGGACGTCTGCAAGTATTCTTCGAGTGCTGGATTAATATCCATTGATGGTGACTGAGAAACTTCTCTCCTCCAGGAAGGTGAACAGAATGACAAGTAAATGGTTGCTTAACCCCGTTTGATTGAGCTTGTATTTTAAGCCTGCAATCCAGACAGTATCAAAGAAAGGCGAAACAACAGCTGTAAAATTTTTCGCCTCGAACCCTCCACGTTATTTTCCTAGTGGTCTTCCATAAGCCCGGGTCACTTGCTTCAAAACGTTTGATGAGTTTTCTATAATTGTTGATTCTATAGGCATCTAGGTCCTGAGAAATTGCATGAGTTAGACTATTCAGTGTAGTTTTTATTTCTGGGTTACGCGTCTGTTGCCATTCTCGGCGAACCCTCTGTTTTTCGTTGATTAGGTCTAATTGTAAGATGCTTTTAGGGGGAAGGTTGTAATTACTTGTAGGGTTCCTTTGAAGGGTTTCGTTGAAGAGACAGCTGCTTCCTTAATCTTTGAAGTCAGCGAGCGGATTTTTACGTCTAACTCTTTCGGAGTAGCTGACGTTGGTAAGTTAAATTCTTGATTATTCAGTGAGTCTCCTAACTTTGTCCAGTTGATGAATCTATTGATCAGCTTAGGAATTTTAGGTCTGTATTCAGGTTGCTTTGCAAGGGTGATGATTACTGGCAAATGATCCGAGTTTAACTCGCTGATTACGCACAGATTTAACTGGGTGGTAAAATTTTTGGTTATTACTATATCTAAAATATCTGGTTGATAGTCGCTTCTATATGGAAAGTAGATAAAATCGATTGGGCAGTACACTCGAAAACCGTACTTGGTTGCTAATAATTCCAGATTCAGTCCCGATGGATTGTCTGCTCTGCATCCCCAGAATTTATTCTTGCTGTTAAGATCTCCTATAAGTAGGGTAGGTATAGAGCTACTCAACATTGAACTTATATTTCTAGTAGTTTTTTGTTAGGTTGTTTGTATCCACATATGATATTAACTGGAGTTGAGTTGTTTGTTTGAATTACTATTGCCGTTACTTCAATAGCGGTGGCTTCACAGCTGAGTTGATGTTGTTGAATTTGCCTTTTAGTTATAATCGCCACCCCTCCGGCAACTGTGGCGGAAGGCCTATCTGCTCTATATACATTATATCCTGCTATTCGGAAAGTCTCACTTGGAGCTAGGTGTATTTCCGTGATACAAGCTGCAACAATCTGATCGCGAGCTAAAAACGCAATAAGAAGAGTTCGTTGTTTTTTAATACCATTGGCGTTGAAATTCAGGATGGTTAGATTGTGTGTGATTGTTAGATTAGTCGTGAAATAAATGTGGGAGTAAATGGTTAATTACGAATGTTTTGATTTGTGGTATAAGGGAAACAAGGAAATCTTTAAGATAGGAGAGAATGGTAGATAGGAGAGGTGCCTGTGATTCTGAGGATTGTTGTTGGTTTGGTTGATTCTCTACTTGAGCTGAAGCAGTCGTGCTTTTTACTGTCGATGCGTAGCTTCTGATATTAGTCTTTGTTTGAGGTATTCCTTGTGAGCTCTGGGTTCTTTGCGCAAGATAGACTGGAGTTGTTTGACGATGGTATTTGTTCTGATATTCGATGTGAATTTTACAGTCTTACTAGCTTGCGAGATGATGTTGGCCACTATTGGCACACTTTGGTGGATCAGCTTGAAGTTTTTTGCAGTTAGTGTGGTTGTGATTTTCACCGCATTTGACGCACCTAGGGCTCATTGAGCAGTAATTTTTCGTATGTCCATATCGTTAGCACTTATGGTATTGAGGAATCTTTTGGGAATTTCTAGTGGCTTAGACCGTAATAATTGCGTTGGAAATTTCCTTGACTTGATAGATTTCTTTGGCGTTCTCTGTGGTTTCTAAGTCTACTGCGCATAAAGGCATGGGGTATTTCGGCTTATTGAGCAGTCTCGTGACTCTTATGACTGGTAGGTTTAGTTGATTCAATTCGGATTTGATTTCTTGATCGGATATTGATATCGGGACATTGCGTAAAATCACAGAAAGAGGTTTACAGGAGGGACCTTGATAGGTATGGAACGGAATTTTATTTCTTTGTAGAATTTGGTGACCGCTCTATAATCATCAGCATGCGTTAGGTTTACTTTGGTATTTGAATTTTTGTACGTAGTAGTGAAACTGTTTTGTGTTCGCTTTCAAGTCAGTAATTAGTTGCTGGTGGTTTAGGGCACTATGGATGAAAATAGGGGAAATTTTTTGGTTTTTATCTTCCTCTTTATTATTAGGGTTGTTTAAAGCCTAAGTTCATTGCTCTCATCAGAAACATCCACTAAAGCGGCATATTTATTTTAAGATAGAAGCGTTGTGGGATCTCATGAGTACCTCTTGTTGATTTCCTTGATGGGAGGAGATAAATGATCGGAGGTCCTTTTATTGTTCATAGAGAATAACGAAGCCCTTAAGGGGCTTAATAGTAGATTATTCAACAAGCGTATAATGGCTGCTGTTACCCACGAAGATGAAGTTGCAACACGAGCGAGCGAGTGTTGTAATCTGAGTGGGTAACATCCATTATACGCAAGTTGAATACTATACTTTATCTACAACTATTTAATTTTGAAAAAAATCAAAAAAAAAGGAAAAAAAAAAACTTGATAGACATTTCAGACATAACCTCAATATAAGAAAGCTGTCATTTCTGTTAATATTTTATTTTTTGATTAGTAGGCCGTGTCAGAACTGTGGAATAATGCCTTCATTATTCAACACTTTGTCAGTGATGGGTAATGCGTGTCATTACCCGTCAAAAATCAAATGTATAACGAATAGATAATTCAATAGTTGTAGATAAAAATGTTTATAACTGCAATAAGTTTGCACGTTGTTTATCGAAAAGCACTTGTTGAAAATAACCAATGGGAGTATAAAAACCGGTGCATAAACAAGTCGCTGTTCGGAAACTTACATGATAATTTAATGAGTGATTTAAGATTTATCATTCAAAATGCACCATAAGGCATAGAAATGATGTTTTAAACTATAAGTTTCACAATTAATCTTGAAAATGGGCAGCCAAACGGCAAACATGATATTTTTTACATAAACTTAATCATATTTTAGACTTATCTGTTATATAGTTTCAGGAAGATGAACTGGGATAAGTTTTGCAGCTAATTGGAGAAGAAACTAGAAGAAAACAGAGTTTTAGGAGTGACATCAAAGAAACTAGGATTGATTTGGTGAAATGTTAGGTTACATTGTATGAGGAAATAAGTTAGGTCTAACTCTAATTAGTGAGAACCAGAAAACGGTTGCGAATGATTGGGAGAAAAAAATACAGAGAATGTTGACAAGTATGGCGAGCCTGTTAGATCAAAACTGTATGACGAAAGAGTGGACGAAGAAAACGAGTTTACAAAGGAATTTAAGAAAAGAAGTGGTCAGTAGCAGGAACGAAATAGGGAAATAACATGGGTGAGGGTAAGACTGCGATGGACTGACGATATTCATAGCCAAGAAAACGTGGGAGAGGTTTAAGGGAGAATC